AATATAAAGTCAATCCTCCCTCACACAAAAAGCCTATTTTTAATTCAAGAGCTACGCAAAGTGGAATTAATACTGTTACTCTATTGTAAGTCATATCCTGCACTGGATTTGCACCTCTTTTACTAAAATATAATATTCATATTCTACCTCTTTGCTCTAATTAAATTAAAGTGTTCACTATATGAATCTTCGGTTGTATAAAAGGTTTCGCATCAACGTGATGCTGGAACAATTGTTTAAGTTATTAGTTGTTCAACGGAAAGATAATTAAATGTATTTTGATAATCCATTGGTTGTTCAAACCAAAACAAGCATTTTGAAAAAGTTTAGGGAATTGTGATTTGTTTGCAATGTTTATAACCCGTACAGAGAATAGTAATAAAACCAACAGATTATTAACAGTTTAAGTGATGAAAAAAAAAGATTAGATCAAACATAAGCTCCATTTAAAGAGGGCAGATTTTCCTCTTTGAAGCCAACCATTTCAGTTACTTTTATTTAAGGGCCACCAACATGCACAGCCGCCCCGAGCAGCTATTTCAACTGCCTTGTGATTCCACTTGTGGGTATGTTTGTGTGTGAGCTGAATTTGATGAAGTGCTTCCCTGTCAAAGGGTTACTTACAGCCGGCCTGTCTCAGGAGAGTTAGTTGTGTGACATTGGCAGAGGGAGAGCGCTGACCCCTGTGATGGCCAGCTGAGGGACAGAGGCCAGCTCTCACTGTTAGAGGACAAACGCCTCGGTGGTCGGTTAAACTAATCACCACAGGGACCCGCCAATATTGCTTTGTTACAGGCCTGCATCCCCACTTTAGAAATACGCTTGATAGATAAATGAATGGACTTCACTCTGCTGCACTCTGAGCCTCACACAATGCAAATACAACTAACTAGCAAGCTTATCGCCTGCCTTCATTTATACCTCTGGTGGCCAAACTGTCCGAAGTCCCATCATCATGCCTCGTTGTGTTTCTCTTCTTCTTAATGGTATTGTATCTCATTATCGTTGACATGCGTTTATCCATTTCATTATTTTCTTCCTGCACATTTTGCACCTAACCCTGTTTACCATGCACATGGTGTCTTCTATTTTATCTAAACATGTTCTACTTGTCTTTACTGAGGATGTGGGGTAACGCTAGGCCTGCTATTCTTCCCTGGGCTTTGTTTGGTTTATTATGGAATATTTTGCATTGCCTTAATATTTTTGTCAGTACATTAAACAGTATTATTGGAAGTATGGTTTGTGAAATCTGGTCACAATGTACAACCTACCTTGACTGGTTTACAGTATGTCTGCTAGAGACTGGCTTGTACATATCGTACATTTTCAGAATATCTTACAAGCAGGCTCTCGAGTTATTTCCAGAGTTAACACTGCATTGCATACTCGGGTCATAAGCAAGTGTGTTTTATATCTCAATGAAGAGACAGTGAAGCAGTTTTGTAAAAAAACTAACTTGCGCTTTTATTTAACCTAGGAATTTCAGGTTATTTAGATTAGATCAGTTATTTCAATTAAGAAGATATATGAGATCTTAAAATGTAACGAAAAAGTGCAAAACTAATACTAATAATCAATTTGTTTACAATGGAGCAGCCGCAAAACCTCAACTAAAACACAAATCTAAGAACATCTGAGAGGCTTATTAAACAAAAAATGTAATATGAGAATTATATGAAAAACCATTGTTTTTCTCATTCCATTACAATACCGGCTGTTACTTATTGTATTCAGGTCAGGTATTCATAGAGCAAAAACAGGAAGGTGTTTTCAGGTAATTCTACGTAGGGTTGGATTTATTAAATGCACTCATGCATTTAACCATGCGACAAATGTGTTACGCACATTGACATTCTCCCAGAGAAGTGTTGTTATGTGCCCTGCTATTGATTTTCAGTGAAAGTCCTCTTAGGAATGTCAAAGCGTTATACTTTTCAGATAGAATATATTGATATGCTTGCCATGTGCTTGCAAACATTTCCAGTTCACGGCAAGGAGAATCTTATCATGGTGTCTGACTCTGTCAACACTATTAAATTGAGAGGGAGTCAGAGATGAATAACTTCAACGTAAGGAGAAATAGGAAGAGGCGCAGGCTTGGGAGCAAACAGAATGATTAATGAGTGTCAAAAACAAAGAATTTACAATTAGGTTAAAGTGTGGCATACATTACTTGTTAACCCTCACTAGTTTCCCCATTTGATTAGAGCTTGTTGAAGGATCACCAAGTAATAAACCCTATTTTTAAACATAAACATTGTGTTCATTGTGTGGACCTTAGATGAAGTCTGACCTATTTCAAATCAGAGATAGTTTTCCACAAAGCACATTCCCTCCTCAGCTATGGGTTTTGAAATGAGAGGCGTGATCGCTATCTTTATCAACTGGTTGGCCTGGCTGTGTAAGAAATGCGAAGATGTGTCACATCTGCCACACGTAAAGTTGGTCTCGTGGAGGCTGGTTTATGAGAAAAAAAGACAGATTGCAGGATCATCTTTACCACCAACATGTAAACACACACACACACACACAGAGAGCCTTGCCTTTCAAATGTCAAAGCCTTCCCTTCAAACATGTCATTATTGTTATGATGGATGCCTAGCATTTCCTAAATATCAGCAGTGTGGAAAAATGAATCCAGCATTGATGAGGATGTTGAATACAGATGCAACGTTGATCACTAGAAAGATGTTAAGAAGCCAACATTTGACAAAAAAACTGAATCAAATGTGGTTTGCATAGTATAATAATAATAATAATAATAATAATAATACATTTCATTTTTTAGGCGCCTTTCATGACACCCAAGGAAACCGTACGATTTGTTAAAAAAATAAAACGCTAATAGGCAACAGAACATGATAAAAACACAGACAGGAAATCATGGAAGAGAAAGTCAAGTGGACACAAATGAAACATATAATGGGTTACACTACAGTGAGTAGGCAGATTTGAACAGGTGGGTTTTTAATTGGGATTTGAATATGGTGATTGTGTCTGACAGTCGGATGTGCGGGGGGAGGGAGTTCCAGAGTCTGGGAGCAGTGCAGCTAAAAGCCAGAGCACCCATGGTGACGAGGTGTGGGGTGGGGACGGTTAGCAGACCAGCAGAGGAGGAGCGGAGGGAGCGAGAGGGGGTGTACTCCTGAAGAAGGTCAGCCAGATAGGGGGGGGAGGGCAGGTTATGTAGGGCTTTGCAAGTGAGCAATAGGTTTTTGAAGTTGATACAGGATTGAACAGGGAGCCAGTGGAGTTGGATGAGGATGGGATGTGTTCTGAGGCCTTGGTATGTCTGTATGTCACTGGAAGGGTGCGACAGCTTACTGTTAGACATTTCCCACAATAGGCAGGGTATGTTAGCACACAGTGCATTGTAGACCAGCAGTGGAAGAGGGGTAAATACTACAAGGGGAGCTTATTTCTCAAGGAGCTGACCGGTGCTCTTGTCAGTCAACCTCTGGATCCACAAGAAAAAGCAAGTTTTGTGCTTCCTCGTCGGTTCAGATTTGGTAAAAATTATTAAGGAAAAGTCCAGTCCTGTTTCTCCTGTCAGACGCTAAAATCGAGGAGTGTAGCCATATACTGGCATTAACGTTAACTATAATAATTAATACATTAAATATTGATACCATGATGATGATATACATGTGATTATATTGTGTAAACAATCTATTACCTCTTTAATCATTCATTTTTCTTCAGTTCTCACTTTTCTCTTCAGAGTGTGTGTGTGTGTGTGTGTGTGTGTGTGTGTGTGTGTGTGTGTGTGTGTGTGTGTGTGTGTGTGTGTGTGTGTGTACTGACATTCTGACATAAACTGAAAATAATTAACAAATTGTTACAATATATTGTATTATATCTGGCAAAAAACAAACAATACAAACGTAATGAAATAAAACAAATAATGGTTTAACTTGAAATCGCAACATATATTAGTGTAGATGTATTTAAGGACCATAATACATACACACCAGTTAAACTTTTACAGAGTATTCAGGAGCGTTCAGATGTTATCTGTGATAGACTTAAACTTCCCCTAAAGTGAATGTGTCTAGAGTAAATGTTGTCAGCTTTGAATAACTTGCATTCCTAAAGAGTCTGATCATGAAGTCTTTAGTGTTTCCATGATTTATTTTTTGTCTGTACAAAAACCAAGACAGAAATAAGTATTCTTTGATGCGGAGGGTGCTTATTTGATCCTCCTCCTCTCATTTTGTAACCTGGGTAAATCCAAATGTCAATGTTGGATTTTGTCTTAATGTTTAACTTCTTCCTCCTGGTCCGTTGTTTGTTTTGTGTTTTTTGTCTTGAGCGAGGCAATACGATAATCTTTCTCCAGATTACAATTTCCTCTTGTGAACAGACACCACGGTTGAAAAGGTTTTTTAGAGTGAGTGCGTTCTCTCGAGTATGTCGAGCAACACATACATTTCCAATTGTTGTATCCATACAGTCTTGATAAATCACCTCTAGTTTTACACAGGACAAAAACGACAATCTCCTGGTCCAGTTTTGTTAGACCCAACTATAGTTAGACTTTTTTCCAACGTGGACTTTCTATGCTCTTTATATTTCTCCGTTAAAAATTCTATGGAATAAATACAAATTGATTTTGAGGGATGATCAAGAGTTGAAGTGCAATACAGTTTGCTGGTAGATGTAATGCAGAAAATGTGTGTGTAAAGTATTTTCCATTATGTTTTCCAATAACTATCACCACATTATATTGACTCCAAGCTATAGACGCCTATTTTTAGAATTTAAAGGGGCGGGGGGGGGGTATGTATTCTTGTCTCATTTGAGTCTTGTGCTGATGCATTTTATATGTCATGACATGGTAATGTATGAATCCTGACTATACTAATCCCATTTCCACGCTTATCACATTTCATATTACACTTCATGTTACCATTGGTTGAACAAATAACTATCATGCTATCAATGTGGATCCTTCATACTGTAATATCTAACCTGCTGTTTCCTTGCTCTACCCCCTCATGCTATCAGTGGCTGGGACAAAAAGCAAAGTGAAAGGTAAGTTATTGCCTCCATTTTCTTGCTACATGATTTATGTTGCACACAGTTCCCAATAAACAATGTTTGGATCGCCCTTTTATCTCCCCCTAGAGCCTGGGAAGCATTAACATACGCTGCTTTTTGGAAAGCTTTTCTGGGCATTTTTTTAACCTTTATTTCTCCAGGAGAGGTCCGATGAACATGCTTGATATTTTTCAGATTCAACCTGCTTCTGCTTCACATATGTATAGATTCACATGTTCTCACCAGGGAGCTGCCTGCCTCACCCAGCCATGCCTTTCCTCTATTTGGCCGCTGTGCAGCTCCACTGGAGCAGCTGGGGGGTTGTCCCTGGTTCAAGGACACCTCAGCGGTAGTTGAGGGAGGAGAATATTTCTCATTTGCTTTCCCATCCCACATTTTCCCAGACAAACTGTGTAGGCAAACCGAAGACCTTCTGACAAGCCTGCTTTTCATACTTTTTATTTTTCTGCTCCCCTTCAGTACTTAATGCTTTGTCCTGATATTTGGTGGCGTAGGTTTTCGCTTCATTACCATTGAATATCATCTGTTTTTAGATTTGTATTTTCGTTATGCAGTGAGTGGTGAAATCATAGGACGTTTTTTCTTGCCACCCACCATAAAAAATGACTTCTACCTTTTGACAAAAAGAAAGTATCCGGCCAGAGAATATTTGATTCATACTGTACACTGTCTCTTTCTTTCATGTTTTATATGAATTTTCTCTTATTGCCCATGTTCTTCCTGGCTTACACTAATACCAAAGTGTCTGTATGGTTACAGATGCCACTCTTAGTGATCTATAAAACAAATATACACATTGCTATGGCTTGTTTCTTCAGATGTGCAGTTTTTAAACTGTTAGAGATTTGAAGAGCCTTCTACAGTAGTCTTTCCTGTTTTGTACATTGAATCAAGATTTAGCTTCCTAACAACCCTAACATCATAGACTCTGGCATTTTTTTGGGCAGTGTGGTTGTTTGTTGTTTTTGGAAATGACTTGAACCAAACCCGATTATCGCTGCTAATGTTCATGAATGAACGCAGATGTTTTTTCCTTATAGTATCCCCACTTTTTGAAAATGCTGTGTTTTGTAATTACAGGAGTAATTAAGGGGCTAGTTTTTAATTAACAGAAGATACACATTCAGCATCCCCACCTCTGGAATCTCGTTCCACATTGAGAAGCCTTTTTTCAACAGCACTTTCAGCACTCTAATTACAACTAATAACTTTTATTAATAGCTATGAAGATAATGAATTGAACCACATGTTTCAGTCTTGAATATTGATTAATGGGTTCTGTCAACTTTGCCAGTGCATGCTAATAATTACTTTGTCATAGTGAAATTACTGATCAAAAAGAAATTGAGGAAAAAAGATCCTCCTTACTGTAGATGTCATTAAAATGGGAATCATGCCTCTGGGTTTATTTGGTGAGACATTACACATATATTTCTTTCCATCTCTGAGGACTCACCTCAGTGTATGAAGCGATGATTTGACAGCTGCCAGTGCAGAGAAAATGGTATTTAATCTATTCAAGTGTACAGTAAGCGCTGTAAATGAAGGTAAACTGCTCCATGAGAGAACTTCTCATGTTTTTTAGATCGAAACAGCAAGGCAACATGTTATAATGATTTTTCTTTTTTTCTTTTGCAAATGGGAGAATCATGCAGCTACTTTATTAAACCTTAATTGTCAGAGGTACAGTAAATGATGAAGATGAAATTAAAGAGTTTCATTTTTTGAACTGTGTTATGTAACCATGAAAGTCATGTTCAGGCAGTTTGAATGTAAATCAAACAGCTTTTTTGGATGAGGTCATGATACATTTAAAGAGGATAGGGCAATGATTTTCAGTGTGATAACGGTTAAATTAAAACATATTTTTGACCACATTATTCATTGGGCTTTCTGGAGATGGAACATGAATACATATTTCTCACTGAACAGTTTGTGATATTTAAAATGGTAATCTATACTTGTGGTTATTGCAAAAAATGTGCCGAATAATTCACAATCAAGCTTATGTTTCACTGAATTCCCATCCATTAAAGCATTTATCAGTCTGTTAGCATTTTCTAGAGTTGGGTTGATCACTATTATGAGCAGGGCTGTCCCTGGCCAACATGAGGCCCCACGCAAAGTTATATGATGAGGCCCTCTGTTTCGCGAGCGGTGACGATGGGGAGGGGAGGGGGGTGCGGCAGCCTCGTAGTGGCGAAACAGTGCGCGCCACACTAATTGCGCCGCATAAGCACATCGGTGCGCCGCATTTTCGGCTCAGTTGAGGCACCCTCCTCAAGGTGAGGCCCCCCCCGCAAGGTGAGGCCCCACGCAGTCTGCATGATCGGCCTATAGGGAGGGACGGCCCTGATTATGAGCATTTCTTGCTGAAGTTGTCTTAGTGTTACCATTTTTTGTAACCGTGTAGACTTTATGCTTATTAGTATGTTTGCAAGCACCAGGATTTGACAAAACAACATAATCCCAAAGTTTATTTAAGGACACATCACATGCTCAGTCGGATAAGTAACACCAGTTGAACGTGTAATTTCCTGTTTCACCTGGAGATAGAACTGACCCACTTTCTAAAGCTGATGTATTGCCACTTTCGTGTTCCTGCACAGCGGGAAAAAAGAAAGCAGTGCTAAGAGTTTCTCCCAGCAAGGATATTTATTGCCAGTCCTGTGTATTGTCCACCCCCTGCCTTCCCCCACTGTGGCAAATCACAGGGGAGGATGGCACTCAGTACCACCTCTGAGTCAGGGGAGGTTCACGTTTGCTCAGGTGTTACTCAGTAACAGGCACCAAATGTCCTTTTTGATACAGGGTAAAGCTGACAGACAACTTACTCCATCTTGGTTATTTCCTCTCTAGCAGGCTTCATCGGGCTCCGTAACAGCTCAATCAACTGACTGCATCATTTAAGATCACACCATTGGTACCGAATATGAATACAATGCAGAGCTGCCACTCAAATGTCATGGGCTGGGTCTTCCCAACATGTGCATCGTGTCCATCTGCTGTCCACTGCTCTTGTTTACAGCTGATAGAAGCATTGAGGAAAACAAATATATTCCCAGTGCAGATAAAGGATGCATGCAGCCGGATGTGTCTTGATAAGATTCAACAAAAACCCATTTAATGCAAGAAAGATTCAATATTAGATTTGAGAAAAACCCACAAGAGAGCCACCAGGAATGAAACCATCAGTTGAGGCAGAAACTTCAGCTGGATTGCGTCTGAAATATAAGAATATTCATGAACGACACATATTGTCTTCTCCAGTCTCTTTTGCAGTCGCATTTGTTCTTTAATGCCTGATGCAAATGGATGCGAAAGAGAGTGACGTGGAGTACATTACTAATCTGGACAAAAGTAATCACAGCCTTTGCTTTTACCATAATTACATATGGATTTTCTATGAATGAATGAATTGTATTATTGGAAGGCCCTGTATTCTAAGATTTGAAATGTTCCCTGATGATTTTAAATTGTGACATTATCTGAAGCTGACTGAGTTGGAACCAGTAGTTGCTCAGTTTTCAAACATGGATCACTTTGGACAGGTAATTTAAAGATTAGCTGCAGTAAATGGATCAGATCTAGATTTAGTGCTAATTAGCCGCTGCCCTTAAATAGTTGCTTAAACCTCTGTAATCAACTTGGCTGATAGCTTTTAAAATACCCCCAGCTTATTGAGTGCCTCAGATCAGCAGGTCTGCCATGAACATAAGACGAATTTGTGTTGGTGTTGAACCAACAGGGTCTAAATTACACTCAGCGTAAATGATCGTTTTTGGTGACAGATGTGACCTTCCTGTCATTGTAGAAATAAATTACAAGAAATGTGTTTTTTGCCCATGTTTCGACTGTTCCGAAAAGGTCACTGAAGGTGAAAACAATCAGATATGAGGGGGTTACTTCACGGGCCAGTTGATGAAAGAAAGCAGCCTGTCTTATCTACTCTCATTCACTCTCAAAGCCTTTTCCTTTATCAACACGTAAAGCTTAAAGAAGTTAATGAATGTGTCAGAGAGCATATTATATTATTCAAATGGCGCCTTGGTCAGATTCATCATTCTGCATCATCTCTTTATATTATTTTTAATGTGCACGTATGCATGGATATCATTTCATTCCTAAACTTTTAATGTCTGTTTAGAGAGGACACACTATATCTCAAGTTCATACTGTTTTTGTTTTTTTCTATAAGAACATGTTTTCATGCTTAAATGTTCAACAAAACACATTCTCATGCTGTCCGGCTGCATCTTTCTGTCCCTTCAATCCCCCCTCTCGAAGACATGTGTGCTCTGATTGGCTGTCAAGAAAAGTAAGACCTTTGCAAAGGTAAATCTTATGTAAAGGTCAAACTTTAGCTAATATTAAGATAGGGTGTGATATATTCTGAAGAACGTTTGTGATATTAGAAGGGAGACAAATCTGTATGGCTTGTTAAATCTGATGTTTCTGTCTGAGGCAGCCCACATTATACTGACTGAGTGGTCTACTGTAATTCCACCGTTTGTGGGTTGGTACAGTAAGAACAGATACCCAAATGTATGTCCACAGGCCTTGGAAAGTCAGGTAAATGCTTTTAAATCTAGGGTTTTGCATTGACCATGTCATCTTATTTTCTTTTCTTGTTTATTTCAGATAGACAAATATATTTTGTAATTTTGTTCACATCATTTCCTCACTTGCCCTGTTCACACATGCTTTACATATTCGATCACATGCCCCAAATAAATTAGTAATTACTTCCAGCTTCTAACAAAGCTGTTGCAATCTCAAAAGTATTTAAAATGACGACAGACAGTAACCACAAGAGGGGTTTGCATGTATTAGTGTTGTGCATACTTGCAATATCTGGTGGTTTTATTTGGACTCTAGTGAATGGAACATGTTGTTTACATGATATGCTTCAAAGAGTGTTGGTGCACTTCAGTTACATACAGTATAGAATATTAATGTGCGGAAAAATGCAG